GTCAGCAACACACGCTGGAAATGTGCTTCTGTGGGGTGATCACACGCTGCTCACCCTCTGCCACCTTGTGCAGGCTCCTCTCTGCAGGGCTCTGCTGCATGGCACCTCCTGTCCCCGAGATCGGGCAGAGACAAGCTGCTCTGTGCCACCACAAGCCTCTCTATGCCACCATGTCCCTCTCTGTGCCACTCTGTGCCTCTGTGTGCCATCACGTGCTGCTCTGTGCTGCCATGGTGCTCTGCAGGTGTGTCCCACAGGCTGTAACTCAATTTTATCCTGGGTCTCCCCACACACTTGGACTTGCCCATGGACAGCTGCCCGTGAGCCCCCAGTGACTGCCCCAGCCACGTGCCAAAGGATGGAAAATGGGTTCCCACACCTCACTCATCTCTCCAACCCTCTGTTTCCTCACGGAAACAGGAGATGTTTCAAAAATGTACTACTTTTTTTTTTTCCAAAATACAGATTAAAATTTCTCAGAGATCTTTGAAAATACAAATTCAACCAGATATATTTCAAAGTTCTTTTTAATCAGCATCAGAGCCCTCATCTGAGCCATATGGAGGAGCAGAGGAGCAAACTGGGGCTGAAGAGGTGGGACAGGGTGAGTGACACACCAAACAGCCTCACCAGCAAGTCACACCAGTGCAGGTAAGGCCAAATGGGGAGGCTCTGGGCACTGTGGTGCACACAGTCGTGGCCAGCACCACGGAGCATGGGAGTGCCGTCAGGGTGGCTGGAAAAAATAGATTTTCTCATTTAGCCAACTGTATCATTCTGCAGTCATGTTTTGGAGGTTAACAATGAACAGAAGAGGCTACTGATGCAAGTGCTTCAGAGACAGGGACTTCATCTTGCAAAAGGGTTATTGACAGCCCTGACTGAAAACAGCAGGACAGTGTTTGGGCTGTACAGGCAGGGCCAGCAATGGGCTTGGAGCAGAGGTAGCTTCATGAATGTATCTGTGGGGAAAAGGGCCAGAGTAGAAATGGCCCCAGCTGCTGCAGACAGTGCCGTGCCAGTGCCTGGCTTTCACAAGCCTCTGCAGAACAGCAGAAAGGTAATACACCCCTCATTATGGGGACCACTCTCCAAACATTTCCTCTGGGAACAGCTGAAAGGGAAGTTAATGTCCCTTCCTGGACAAAGCTTTGCTCCTCTTGGCCAGCTGTCAGCCTGACTGGTGGACACGATCTTGGGTGTGGAGTTCCATGCCCAGGGGGAGGCTGCTCCATCAAAGGCTCACAGCATTTCCCAGCAGGAAGAGCTTTGGGGTTTGCACAGTCTGGCAGAGCTGCACGTTGTGAAGAGGGGGGGTGGGCTGGCTCCCCTCACTCTCCCTCCCTGCCAGTGTCACTCCAAAGCATTTTGTGGGATGGCTTTTGGCCAAATGAGAGCCGAGTCTGACCCACTGAGCGGCCAAGGGGTTGCCAGAGGCCCAGCACGGGGCTGCTGGTGAGAGTGCAGCCCACAGCAGGGTGGGAGCACCACCTCCTGCTCAGCTGAGCTCTCATTCTCTCACTTTTCATAAATAGAGCAGGGCTTTATTCCAGGATTAGTCCTGGGCACAGGCATGGCTCCTTAAGGCCCTGGGAGCAGCACAGAGCTGAACTGAACTCAGGGTCTCCATTGGTGTGCACACAGAGCAGCTGGGGAAGGGCTGTGGTACCTGACAAACACAGAGCCAGAGGTGAAAAGGAAGTTCAGAATTTACCTCCGGCTTCCCATGCATTCAAAACTGACTTGGATTCCCTTCTCCATCTCAAAAGCTCCTCTAGCCCTGCCTGACTCCAAGTGCAGAAAGAGGCTTGATTTTGCCACTCTTTTCCACCTCTCAGGCGTGTTGGTTTTTTCCTCAGCAAGATTATTCTGAGTGCAAACTGATGGGCTGGGGAGGGCAGAGCTCCTGCCCAGCTCTGTACCTGAGGGCCCTGAGCCTCCCACTCGTGTCACCATGAGGTTGGATGCTGGGAGGCTCCTGCTGGTGACAGCTCTTATGGGGGGACATGGTGGCCTTTCACAGTTCCACAAATATCCAGAAATTGATAGGGATTTCTGAAAATGTATTTTTACCATTGCAAGTAATGTCAATCTTTGCTGATACCTTTTGCCTGGGTCGTGAAGGAAGAGCACAGTGTTGGGCACTAAAATAGAAAATATTTATTTAAAGAAGTCAAATGTTCTAATTTCTTCTCTCTTCTGGTGGCTGTAAATTAATGGCAGTTCAGCGCTCTGCTGAAATAAGCGCAGTGGGATTGTGGGAGAGCTCTTTTTAGCCAGAAATATAAATATACACCACTTTAATTGTGTATATTTAATGTACACCCACTCATTTGCTTTTTAATGTGAACAAGGCTTCAGCAGGCTCCAAAGAGCATTGATACCCACTCTCACTCTGCCCTGGAGTGGTCCCAGCCAGGGACCTCCAGCTTATCCACAGGCAGGTTTTTAAGCAACTACAAAATCACTGCTCAAGGAGTCAAACAGCTCTTCCTGTGTCTGTGACTGTAGCCTGGAAAAAGGGCTCCACACTTGCAGAAGTGGCAAATTAGCAAAGGAAATATAGGAGCCCCCTGCCCTGCTTATTTCCCACAAAATATTACTGAGTGGTAACAACCTCCCCAGCTCCTGCACAGCAACAGCCATCACATCCTGTAATGGAAAGTGGTCAGGCTTTGGGTTCTTCCCCACATCTGTGGTTTGTTTTTGGAAGGGGAAGAAGGGCTGCGCTGCGTTTGAAGGTTTTTCAGAATGCTCTGCAGTGGCCTTATCCTGCTGCCACTGATACCTGATTGGGAAGTGTCTGACTGATGCTGATGATTTCTGGAAGTCAGGTCCAAATACCCAAGTGCTTTATTGGAAAGGGGACAGGACACACCAGAAATATTGCTGATAGGCACTCCAGAGCTATTAGGCCACATAGCTCTGCTTCTTTATGTTACTTCACACAGATTTACCTTGAGTTTTTTGCAATTTGCGATCAGGGAAATAGAATAGGTCTTTTTCACTTTTGTATTCGACTGTGATCACCATCCTTAGCCATGTGCAGAGAGCTGCATCCTGGAGCTGTAATTGCACTGGGGACACACCATAATGCAGAATAATAACTCGATGCTAATGAGCTCCATGTATTCAGTCAGGATCAGACCTGCCATCTCCCTTCCCAATGAGATTACTGCTGTCCTGCTCGTGCTGCTTTTCCAAGTGTATGCTAAGGTTTGCAATCAATTTGAGCAAGTCTCAGGTTTTGTTCAAGTTGTCTTCTGAGTTATCCAACAAAGAAAGGAGAAGCCAGGACAGCAAAGCAGACATGAACCTGCAGGGCTCTCTTTAATTTCCAGTTTATCTGCAATTTAAGGGAGTAAACACAGCCATGCTGAAGATGCATAAATACAGCTTGGAGTGCCATTGAAATCTAGGTCAAGGTTCCAGCTCTGCCTGTGGAATTTCATTACATGACTTGGGGAGACTGTGTGCTGCTCCAGGAGCCAGGTGGAGGACACTTCTGAGCCAGCATAATGAAAGCAGGTAGGCTTCTGCATAATCAACAGCAGCTCCACTGCAGGCTGCTAAACAGGTCACGTAGGCCATTGCTGGGCTGGAATTGCTGAATTATTACTGAATCTCACTGGTCAGTCCTGGCTAAGGCCTTTGGATCTCCAGTGGCTTCAGTCTTCAACAGTGCTCCAAGGAGCACTTCCAGCATTGGCCAGCAGTAAGCAAATTGCCTTCCAGGTGCTTGGACGGAGGGATTGAGCTGTCAATCTGATAGTTGTTAACAAAATACATAATTTGGAAGGGGAAAAAAAAAGGACTTGCATTGATACACATTCATTTGCTTTGCAATCCAAGTATATGACTGCTGCAGAACATGAATCTATTCCATATTTGAGACCCAGTCTGTGTTTGTGTTTTAAGTTAGCCTTCCAAGCAAAACACGTGAAACGAGAACATTTAAACAGGAAGGGTTCATGGATTTTTCTTTCCCTCATAAATTTCTGTAGGTCTTGTTGCTGCTAATTACTGGAGATCTCAGCACAAGGGCTTTTCTTTCTAGCAAAACAGCTTCTCATGTTTCCTGCCCTTCAGTTAATCAGTTTTAATCTCCTCTCTGTTTGTTTATTTAGCTTCACAAAGCTAATTGACTGTTTGTGACATGAGTCTGCCAGAGACTGGGACAGCAGAGTTTGTCTGTGCGCAGTCGGACAGCGGGTGGGCTCTGGCAGTGCCCGCCGCTTCCATGGCAGCCTCTGGATGTTCCAGGAGCCAGCTCTGGCTGTGTCCTGCTGTGCCTGGCCGTGTGCCTCCCAGGGAGGCTGCTGTCCCCGGAGGAGGGTGCCTGCTGGGGCTGGCCAGCAGCCCAGCACCCGTGCAGGTTGGGTTGGTGACTTGCAGCCGCGCCCAAGCAAAACAAAATCCCAACTGGAGAGGATGGGTTAGCATCAGGCAAGGCAGGGATGTGGATGGGAGCCACTGCAAGCCTGATCCTCTGATTCCTCTGGTGAGGCTAGAAAATAGAACACTAAGGATCTCTATAGAAACCTCTGTGTCCTCTCTAACTCTGCTGTCCCCTCCCTGGCACAGACAGCTTTGGGAAAGCCAGGCACCCACTGCTCACTTTGAACAGGTAGCAGAGGAGAGCAGCTGTGAACAGCTCCTTACTCCTCATGCCCTGGAGTCAGACTCCACAAGAGGCAAACCTCTCCTGGGTGTCAGGAATTCTGTGCAGTGAGAGTTGTTGTCCTCAGCCCCTCACTCCTGTGTGTCCCACCCGAGTACCTGCTGTGTGCTCCCGGCAGCTGCTGCCTCCACACCAGCCTGGCTGGGAGCCTGGCGTTCCCAGCGCTGTCAGATCCCCTGAGCAACATTAGGAGATGGCTCTTCTCAAAATCTGTGTTCTGTGAGCTTCTTTTGACCATGTGTTTTTTGCCTTCACCATGCAAGAATAACTAAGCAGTGCTGATTTTAATGAGTTTTTTTTCTTTTCATCCTTTAAAAAGGGTCGCTAAATCCCACCAGAGTCTGGCCCCTTATACATTGCTGTGATGTCACATGGATACAGGCTCAAAGGATATGCCAGGGGAGAAATCTTCCTGCCTGAGGGGAAATCCTGAAAGGGTGAGTCTGCTATAAGGTGTCTTAGTCATGCTCACCAATGCCCATTATCACTGCAAAAGAGACTTGTTTTTTGGTACTTGTGCTGCTGGGATTGTCTTTCAACAGGCTAGTTCCTGGTAGTGCAAGGAGCGTTCAGAAGGTCCCACATGAGTTCCTGGTATGACAAAGCTACCCTTTAACCTCAAGCCATGAGGTGGGTGGCACTCTGTTTCTAAAATGACTTGAGGCATTATGCACAGTCCTATAAAAATGCAAAATGGGGCTGCTGTATTACCTCCTGTAGCTCAAGAGGTTTGGAGCATTTGGTTGATCTTTTGCTACCAAAAAAGCACTTTGCTGAAGCTGTGGCTGCCACATCTTCTTTTGCAGCAGGCTCTTTATTTTTGTGCTTATAACATTGCAGTTTATTTCCGTGGCAACAACTCTAATGTGATCATTTGCATCCATAATAACTTCACTGTTACTAGAAAAGGTAAAACTGTGATGATCTTTTTGAAAAAGTGATCTGGGTCCAACTGAAAAGGCAAACTATAAAAAAAATACTAAAAATAAAGTTAATTTCTAGGGCAATAAATCATGGCATATTGAGCTGAGTACATGACTTTTCTTGTCTCGCTGCTGTAGTGAGGGGTGAGCCTGCGTAAGCCCTGAGACTGCAGGGAACACACAAACACTCTCATTTGTGTTTTACTTAAGCTTTGACAACGTTGTTCTCTGTTTTCCCTTCCTCGAGGACTGCAATCACTCATGTACTGTTTTCCTTCACTCTGCTAAGTGATGCACAAATTGTTTCTGCATTCCAGGTTTGTTTGTGACATCCCTCTCTCGTGTTTGCATGTGGATGATGAAGATGCTGCCCTGCTCATCAGGAAATGAGTAGGCTGCCTGCCTCCAGCCTCAGAGGAGCTGCATTGAGGCTGGTGGAATCACTATGGCTCAGCACCAGCCCTGAACCAGTATTTGCCCCAGCACTGCCACTTGTTCTGTGGTTTTGCATGTTTTATCTTTCACCTGTGTCTCAGTGCTGTGCTCCACTGAGGAGCTTAGGATGAAACATGGACTTTCCTGGGATAAGCACATTGAGGAACTAAGGCCAAAATGCATTTCTCTTGGTTCAGATCCAAACCAGCCACAGGATGTCTTTCCTAGTTCTGTCTCCTGTGGGTTTTGCTTGCTTTAAACTTCTTTAGAACACAGAATTAAAAAAAACGTAATTTCTTGCACGTACACACATACCCACCCATGTTTAAATAAAAGAGAATCCTGCTTGTGTGATGAGACACACCAACTGTCTTGATTCGAACAATCCTCTGTTTTGAAGAGTTGATTAAATATATTTTAGCTAAATACTTAGCAGAAGTCTACTAGTGATATAAAGCGAGCTAAGAAATATACTCTCCATATGCTTTGAGCAACCTGGTCTAGTAAAAAGTGTCCCTGCCCAAGGCAGGGGGATTGGAACTTAGATGGTCTTTAGGGTCCCTTCCAACCCAGGCCACTCTGGGTTGGAAGGGACCAAAATTCCAAACTTTCTAGAAAAGCTTTCCTCCATAAATTAGAAGTAAGAAAGCTGACACTAATAAAACAGAGCAGGCTATCTGAGACCTCAGTCTGGCTGGTGTAGAAATGCCAAATAATACAGCTTTCCATGAATTACTGACTGCATGTTGAGAAGTTAAACTTCTCTGAGAAAGGTAAGGTCCATGTGAGCTATTTGACCCCACACATGGTTATGAGTGCTTTATCCTTGCTTGAAGCAGCCTGGTGAGCAACTATCTCTTTTCTTCATTGTGTGTGATGTGGGTTGAGACAGAAGTACAAAACTAATCCTCCTTGCCTGCTGCTTTGTCTCATCACATTTTCATAGGCCAAGAAGAACAAAAATCCCACATCCCATAATACAAATGTGGGCTCGCCCCAGCCTGTGTTCCCTTGCCAAAGGGGGGTGAGAGGGCTCTTTCCAGCCCCTGAATGCTCCTAGGACATCCATGATCTACATTGCAGCTGGCCTGGGTCTGCCTCTTCTTCCTGTGTGTTGTTTCTGCCCGTGGCGCTCACCTACACCAGAATATGGATTTGGCAGGTAAAACTTGTGGCTATGTATAGATGATCTTCAATCTGATAATTAATGCATGGTCTTAATTAGAATACAGTTCTGAAGAATTATCTCCCTTTTAAATATTCTCCTTTTCCTGTTGCATGATACTGCAGTTTCTTAACAGCTATTGGAGTCACCACATGACATGTGCTCCTTGTTGCTGTGGTTTTTTGGGTTTTTTTGCTTCATATTCAGAGTATTGTCACTATTGGTTCTCAAGACAGTTGCTTTGTTGTTTCTAGAGAGACATGCAGATTGAGCCACTTTGCATTTAAGATTAACTGAAACTCACTGGAACATTATCACCTGCATGGCAACCAGAAGCCCATCTGTGCCTAACATCAATAGTCCAAAGTGAAAGATCATGCTTTTGTCAGGAGAAACACACACTGTGAAAATCCTTATCAGGGCTGAATGAGAGTTGGGTGGGACAAGCCACCCTCTCTTTAACACCAGGTGCAGGTCACATCCAATTTCAGCTGTGAGTAATGGACAGCAGTGATTCACTCCACAGCGAGTCTCATAAAGCCCACTCCTTATTCCCAGAGATAAATGGGAGTGATATTTTTATAGCAAGTGTTATTGTTGGTAAGCCCTTTCTAGGTCAGTCTAAACCAACACACGTAACCCTCCTGGCTGACTCCAGCTTCCTGCAAGCTGGCAGATCCACTGGGGTGCTGATCCAGAGGGGACATCCTGGACAAGCCACACTGACAGAATTGGGAACTGGCTACAAAACTGCACCTAAGCCAAGTACCAAAATTCAGGAGTGATGAACTCTACTCTTTGAGGGAAAAAGAATAGTGGTGAATGATTTTCAGGGAAGAGGAAGCCTGGTGATCTGGTGCTCTTCTGATGAGAGATGATACCAGTCTGAGCTCCCTATTTGGGGTTTTGCTCCCCCTCAATGTAATGGTGCTCTTCTGCTTACAAGAAATCATCACAGTGTTAATTTCACTGTGTCTTAATTATTCCTTTTCTGTTTTTCTACATGTATGGCTGCTTTACTGCTTTAATGCAGTATTTTCCATTAAGCAGTTCTATGCAGTACAACAAAAATAAACACACAGCAACGTGCGTAAGATTAAACCATTAAACTCACTCAAAGTATACAGTTCCTAAATTAAAAGTACTTATGCTTATACTTTATTATTGATTGCTGGGTTGATGCAAGAAGAAGAACTTGCCCTTAGGAAACAAAACTCATGGTTCCTTAAGCTTTTCTTTGTCAGGAAGCCAAAAAAGACAACATTAAATTGAAATGTCACCATTTGTTCTTGTCAAATGTAGTTTATTCAATTAGATCCTTTATAACTCTACTGAGTTATACAAAGGAGGTTAATATTTTTTATTGTTTTTCTTCATGCTGTGTCTCTAATACACACAGAGATAAGTTGGCCTAGTAAAATATACAGTGTAATTTGGTAATGTGTTTATTGGATTCCAGTAAAAAACTATGAGAAATTATCCAAGATTTTTGCTTCTTCAACTGAAATTTTCTTTCTTCTCTCTCTCCTTTTTTTTTTTCCTTTTTCTTTTTGTTTGTTTTTCATTGTTTGGGGTGGGAGGTAATAATCTTGCAAGTGTTTGTTTCCTGTAAATGCTTCAAAGAAAACATTCCTAGAAGCAGATTTGGGGTTTTCCCCCTGAGTTAAGAAAGAAGCAGATTGAGTTGGTTTTTTTTTCCCCCTGAGTTAAGAAAGAAAGACTTCCTGAAGAACAAGGTCTTTAGATACACTTATGGTTCCAAAAATTTAACTGTGGTTGTGAAACATATCTGACATCTTGCAGAATGATAAGAGGAGCTGAAGTTTACAGTAACTTACCAATCAGAACTGTCTTACAGAGGGTTCCAATTACTTCTGGGTTTATAGATATGGTTTAAACCAGCAAAAACATATTCCTTTTTCCTTGTGGGGTTAGTTTTCTGTCCAATTGGCAGCTGGAGCTCCACTCAGCTCCAGAGGTCAGTAAAATATCACCACTGATGTAAGGAAGAGAGACAGGAGCATGCAGCCGGTGCCAGGGCAAGGAGAGGACCAGAGTGACGTCGATTCAGGTTCACTTGCCCCGTGACAGAATTGCAGCCAAAGTAGCTGGGTAAAGCTCTGGGCATGCTCACAAGCTCTGCTGAACTGGGACAGTGCTACCATGCCTGGCCACAGATGTAAAGAAAAGGGGAAGCAAGGCTCTTCAGCAGACTTGGGGCTGAGAACCACATGTGTGGCCCATGGCTGCTTCTCAAAAGTACCTGCAAGCACTTTCACTATGTCAGTCTAGAGGACATGAGTGGATTTCTTGAAAGAACCAACACCCTTCCTGGAAAAATTGCAACAGTTCAGAAAAGGTGAAAGTTGAGCACTGCCACCCTCTCTCTCTTGTGCAATTTGATTAGCTCATGCTCTGAGACAGCAGGAGCTGCCATCCCACCGTGCCAGGTTTAGGGCTTTTTCTAAGTCTTGTGTTGTATTGGGAACTGCTATCATGCTTGAACTCAATTGAGGATGTGAAACCAACTGCAGTCTGGCAAGCCACAGACTGCAGCTAATTTTTGTTCTCTGTTAATTTACCTGCCTGTGGCTTTTTGTGCTGCCCAGGATATAATCAGCTTGCTCTGGAGATGGATCTGCTGCGTGTTTGTCTGGAGCTGGGCTGATGCTGGCTGATGGGCAGCAGCAATGCCATCTGGGCTGGTCACTCCTGTCACAGCAGGCACAGCTGCTGGGCTGTGACATGGACAGACCCCAGGGCCAAGGCTTCCCTTGGTTTCTGCATCCCTGAGCCTGAGAGGGTCTTCACAGCTTTGGCTGCCCTGTCTGGCAGGGAACTAATGGGTCTGGCGTGCAGAAACCCTTCCATCAGCTTGCAGGCCAAACGAAGAGCAGAGTGCTGGAAATGTGCTGTGGCACATGCTTTGTGGAGCAGCCTGTGGGAGGGACGCTGCAAACTGATGACTGAGAGTGGCCTGGAAGCTAAATCCCATGTAACTCAGGGTGTCGATTCATGAAATGCTTAATCCCATTTAAGCAAGCTGCTTCCAGCAGAGGAGGCCTCCTCACATCCCACATGTGCACTCCCACCCTCTCCCTGCTCCTGCCCGGGTGTCCCCAGGCTGGGAGGTTGACTCAGACCATGTTGTTCACCCAGTACAAAGCAGATGACGTTCACTGGAGGCTCGGTTTGTGTCAGGCCATAGCTATGCATACAGGAATCTGACCTAGAGGGCTCCATCTGCTAGGGCTGAAGGAGAAATGCTGCTAAGCCTTCACTTAGACTGGATTGCCTAAAAAGAAACTGGACTGCACAGAAGAGAATAATGCTCAGGGCTGAACTGGATCCAGCAGCTCAGGAGACCAAAAATCATAAAACCACTGAAAGCTCCTCTTAGCTACTTCATGTAGGAAGCACATAAAACCTAGGGCCTTGCATCGAGCTCCAGCAAGCATGACTGCAAATCAAGGAGCCTTCTTTTGGAAGAAACCAGCCAGCTAAAGATGGTTTGATGGGTTTGCTGATACAGTTATACAGGTGAACAGTCTGGAGGCCAGGGAGGACCTCTGGTTTCCAGATAAATGCCCTCTCTCACATTCACTTTATTACTGAGCACAGCTCAGTTCCATTTCCTTTACCATTCTTTGCTCCTGTTTCAGGACAGGGATGAGAAGGGTTGGAGAAGGGCTGGGGCTCAGTGCTTGCATAGCGCTGCGAGGGAACACAACCCAAAATACACACTCTTTCCTCACTGCTCTTCTTATGCCTTCATTTTAAACACAGCTTTTCCATTCCAGGTGTAAACACTTCCCAGGTTTATCACCTCTGGTTTCTGGACATGGGCATTTGTTTTGGGAAACAGGTGGAAGAGCAGCATTCTGCCAGGGTAAGTTCCCAGTTTCCAGCAATCTGTTGCACGGGGCCTTGCTGCCAGAGCACAAGATTGCTTCTCTGCAGTGA